CTCTGCTAGGTCGGTCTCATTAGCTTACAAGAGACAGCTGTCAGGCACCTGCCTCTCTCACACACTCTCTCACCCCTTTCCTAACCTCATATCCACCTCTGGTTTCCACCCTTCACAGCAACATTCCTTTAGAAAGCTGTGTCTACCTGCTGCCTTCAGTTCAGTGCCAATTCTCTCTTGGACCGAGGCCAGTTATGCTGTTCTCGCCTCGGACGCAGGATGGCAAGTTCACAGAGTGCCATCTCCACGCCGAGCGGTGCATCCTGGTCCCACAACTCTGCGGACGAGCTCAGCACGTCCTTCTCAGCAGACTGTCCTCCGCTCTTCTCCCGGCTGCTCCCGCCGAGCCCTTCCGATGGCCTCTACCCTCCCTGAGCCACTGTGCGCCCGGGCTCACTCAGCCCAGCACCTGCCCGCCGCCCTCCTACAAGCTAACGGCTTTCAATGCCGCCTCAGCAAGTCCCGGGTAAGGGAACCCCATGGCCCCGCAGGCTTTACGTGAGGCCCAGACTCGCCTGTGCACAGGCGCCCACGCAGCGCCCAGCCCGAGTGGCCGTGTCCAGGCAGCCCCGGAGTTCTGACTCCCTCCCAGCCACGTCACTGGGGCCCACCACGCGCACGGCTCACACCGGCGGCGTCTTGCCTCTTTCCCCGCGCCCGCCCCACACGCAGGCCCAGCGCTCTGGTCTGCACCATAGCACTAACATGCGTACCCCACCTCCTACAAGTTTCCAGGAGGGGCTCAGCCTGAGCCGTGGATTCCGAAAACTGTTTTTAATAACAAAGATCTGAAAATGCGGACCGAATCCACACACGGCGCAGCGCAATCCCCCGCTGCGGCGCGCCCGTCACCGGGAACAGCTGTCGCGCCCGCACCCAGCTCCTGCTGCCGCCCAAGGCTCGCTGCAGAGCGCCGCCCGTCCCCTCTATCTGAAAAGAGGCCACTATTCCTTGTATTTCGTCCTCTGCGCCTACTTATCCATTTCCTTGGGCCTCCCGCTGCGTGATGAGGATGAGCCCGCGGCCCTTACTCGTGTCATGATGAAGACCGGGCCTTTCTCCACACAGAGCTTCCCATTTTCATGTAGAGCTCTATCCATTTTCTTTCTGTCTCCTGGTACTGTCATGTCCAAGTTCAGAGGAAACCTTCCCCCGGATTCGATAGAATTTTGCTTTTCACATTTAGGTCTGTATGGATTGGACTTCCCTTTGCTCTGACGGGAGGTGAGGCTCTAACCTCATTTCCTTCTGACCACAGAGCCGGCTGTCCAACAGCATCTACGGGCTACTTTTTTCTCATATGTGCACAGAGCTGAGAGCAAGTGCGTGTGAGCGCGTCAGCTCTCTGCCACCGCTGTCTAGTCTGTGCAACAGTGAGCCAGGAAAGAGCGGTCACCCACCTGTCCATCTTCATCAAAAGCCATGACCACCACGGCCGCTCCGAACTTCTTGACCTTCCGGGCCTTCTCCAGGAAGTCACGCTCGCCCTCCTTCAGACTGATGCTGTTGACGATGCACTTCCCCTGGCAGCACTTCAGGCCGGCTTCGATCACCGCGAAGCTGGAGGAGTCGATGCACAAAGGCACCTGCGCGGGGACAAGCGCGTCAGAGAGGCCGCTCGCGGCCTTCCCAGGCCATGCTCAAGGCCTGCCGCTGCGGGGACAGGCCACACAGTGCCGTGGTGTCCCGGAGGGGCGAGCGCTCATTCTCAGGTACCTGGACGAGCCCGAGTCGTGAAAGAGACTCCATGGGGGGCTGAGGGGTGAGGAATTCACCAAGGTCAAACACCACAACGGGACACTGAGGCCAGCTCGGCGGCTGGAGGACCGGCTGGGCTCTCCGGGCCTGCACCCCGAGGCAGCGGCTCCGGAAGGAGGCAGGCGTCGCTGATCTGTGAGCGCACCGCTCAGCTCACGCCCTGTACAACAGCTCCCAAGCCACTTGTTACCTCAACACCGTCTTCCCTTTAGAAAATCAAGGTTTCAACTAAAAAATCAGTGCAGAGGACCGAAAGCAGCACCCAGGATAGACCCCACTGTGGTGACTCAGCAGCAAATAATGAAGACGACTGCGGGGCACCACGGAGGCTCAAGGCCAAGGCCAAGGCCAAGGCCAGAGAGACAGGGGTCGCTGCTGGGCGACACCAAACACAGAGACGCATCCAGCACGGACGGGAAGTCCAGGGAACACGAGAGGACAGAGAGCACAGACGGCCACGATGCCCAACTTATGGCCCAAGGGATGCAGGAAAGGAGAACTCGGGAGGTGAGAGAGGTCAGAGCACCACGGCCAGGGTCTCATCGCCAACACGAGGCCCTCACAAGAGGCTCCGCTCTCTAACCGGATAGAGAAGACATAAACATCGCACCCCAGAGGTGACGCGGTGACCAGGCTGACAGGAGCCATGGCCGGGACGCTGGCGAGCACAGCACTACCCAGAGAGGGATCAGCCTCCCTCTGATTTGGACTCTGAACAAGTACTTTAGCGTCTCCACACTGCACTTCCCAAAATACTTACTCCTACAGGGGTCACGAGCTTCCCTCGGCGGCATTTTAAGACACAAATAAAGGCTGAGTCCATGCAATTTGTCGCTTACCACTAGACTCTAGCGTGCAGTTGCTGACGCCTAGTAAAAGCCAACAGCACCAACTCTTAGAGCTCTAGGACGCTTCCTACCAGAGAACTTCAGAAACCCATGCTCACAAGCCCAACGGGAGAGCCAGAAGTACGACTCTATGCTTTTGAGTCCCTCTAAAACTTTCAGAAAGAGCGACACACGAGGTAGCATCCACGCTCTCAAAGGACACACGCCCCGCGCCGACGGCTCCAAGGGCTCTCGTCCTGCACGAGGGCAGCATCACCTGGCTCCCGCGCCTATGGGAGGGATGGGCTGATCTGGAAATGCAGCTGGTACATCCTTCGGAGACACAGAAAATGGTCCTTCATGTAGCCAGACGCGAGAGGAGACTCAAATTAATGCTCGGGTCAACCCGGGAGCCTTGGAAACGGCTCGGCTGAAAGACGCATCCTCCTCGCAGACTGAAAGTCTGACATGAGTGAGAACCACTGTGTCTCCGACACAGGAAGACAGAAAACCGGCCCAGGGACGACAGAGCGGCGGACAGGGAGTGCGCCCGCTGCGTGGTGAGACACGCAAGCCCCCGTGGCGCACAGCGGCTGCCCACGACCTTGGCGATGGCCGGCTCGGATGCGATGAAGTTGCAGAACTTGGCCATGGCGCTCGGGCCGTCGAGCAGACCGTCGTCCATGTTGATATCCAGCACTTGGGCCCCCATTTCCACCTGCACTCTGGCCACACTCAGGGCTTCCTAGGGAAAGAGGCAGAGGCAGCAGCATGAGGAGAGTGACTCCGACCAGGCTGACGGGGCAGCCAACGCCCCAGCTGGCCCTCGCGCTGCCAGGGAAACAGAATGAAACGTCTGTGCAGGGGGACAAGTGGGCCCTTTCCCCATGCTGGAACTATGTCGGCTCTGAAACCGGGTTCTGAAGTCTAGTTCTGAAGGGTCACGACAGGTGAGGCAGGTCTGACGATCAAAACAAAGCATCAGTGAGGTCCAGACCACATTCTGAAATGGAGAATTCTCGAAAGTTCAGCTCACCGCAATGAGCACCAACAGCTAGAGTGTGCCTCCCCTGCCCCATCCCACCTCAAACCCGCCACGCAGACCTCTCCGACAACACTGACAAGAGCAGCTCAAGCACCTGGGCTGACCCTCCCACGGCCCGCTTGGCGACACTCTCCCGTTCTCTCGCACTGCAGCTACCACTACCCACAGTGGTGCAGTCCACACACACGCGTCTCGCCAAGAACACGCAGTGCGGGGCGGGCTCAGTCAGATGCTCACCTCGTAGTTGCCCGCCATGATGAGCATGGCGAACTTCCTGGAGCCCGCCACGTTACAACGCTCGCCGATGTTGACAAAGTTGGTGTACGGCCCCATCCTGAAGGGCTCGAGACCTGCACAGGAGAAGCGCTTTGAGAGATTCCTGCGAATGCTGAGGAGGAAAGCACCTGCACCCCACCCACCTGCCGGGCAGAGGCCTTCCCAGGATGCACGCCTGTTCGCAGCTGCGCTACAACCAGAGACCTCGGAGGGAGTAAGGTGCCCAGCGCGGTTTGGCCAGAGCAAGTGACAGCAGCTCAGAAACAAGCTCCGCCTGGAGTCGCTTCCGTTTAAGCCGGAGTTGGGAGCCATGAAGCGAGAGCCCCGGGCTCCCCCCGGCACTGTCAGGCAGCAGCAGAGTGGGCGGGATCTGTGCCCTCGGGCTCGCCCAGTGTGCTCCGGGCGTCACTGCAGCCGGCTGGCCCGGAGGCCAACGCAAGGAGGCTGGGGGGTCACAGGAAAGGCCCGCACGGCCCTGGAGACAGGCCGGCCGGCCGCGCGAGCAGCGAAATCTAAAAGGGGGTCCGGCTCTCGCTTCTCAGATTTGCCCCAGGGCCCTGGGGGACGAGGACGCGGACAAACGAAGCCGAGCCATGCAGGGGCCGTGGGAGAGATGTGGCGACCAGCCGTGGAGAGGCTGACGGCGGCGCAGAGCCCTACCGTGTGCCTGGCTCTGCCCTGTGTCGGCACCTGCTTGTGCCCGCCCCTCCCCGTGGGCCTTGCCAGCAAGCGCCTGGGACGCGTGGCAAATTTTCAGGCCTCAGGAGCCAAACATCAAGGCAAATGCAAGCCATGGCAATAGCATTTCCGAAGCAGAAAAAGCCTCACAGAACACTGACTTGGCCGTTTGGAATTTCCAAGACCGGTAACAGATGGGTCTTGGATTAAAGTTCTTAGGCTGGAATCTGACATACGTCCTCAGAGCAGTGCGCAGGAGACACGGGGCCCTGCGAGTCTGGCCCTAGCCAAGGCCGTCCTGGGCCCCACCCGCACCCCATTCACCTCTCACCAGAAGGTAATGTCCCCCCACCCCGAACCCTCAAGACGAAGGTTCTTCACTCGAATTCCTGCTCAGTGGCAAGGAAAATGGGTATCTCTTAGAGCTAATAAAGTAAGTTCCTTCACTGTCACTTAGAGTAAGCAGCAAAAGTCCCTCTCGGTGCTTCTGGGGAGGAAGCCGCGCCATCGCACCTACCGGCCAGCGACGTGTGCCCTTCAAAGACAGCGGCCGGCGGGCTCCTTGGCTTACAGCCCCTCACGGCATCGGCGATCTCCCTGGGTTCCAGGAGAAAGCAGAGTAATTCAGAGCAGCACACGCTTGACTGCGTGAACATCCAGCCATAGAAGGAAGGCGCTGAGGGGCCCATGGCCCTAGCTCCAAACGCTCGGCATCACTGTGCCGTCTGTTTCCTCGATAATACAGAACACGCGTCTATCGACTTCAGCTTTTCTGTATCTGCCTGCGTGCCGGGGCCCCAATGCACCGGGCCCCGATTTCTGAGCCATGAATCGGTTTGTGTCGTGTGAATGTGCAAGCTGCGGATCCCTTCCCCCCTTCCCAAGCCGCAGACGGCCTTGGCTCCCTCAAACCTGAACTTGAACCAGGTCTGCTCCTTCCGCAATAGTTTCAAAGAAAAGTTTCGTTGTTGAGGAGCGAGTAAGCGAGGAGGAGCACTGAGGGAGGAGACTAAACCCTCTGGTCTGTCCCCGGGCAGGGCACCTGCTCACACTAGTGAGGGCACGCAGAAATAACCGCTTCCTCGCCAAAGGGCTACTTAGGTTCCATGTGTTTAGCCTTAGTACTTTCACCAACCTAGAGACACCTGACTACGCCACTAGATTTGTCAAGACCAG